CCCAGGGACAAGGGGCAGCACCTGGGACCTTTGCCAGCCGTTGGAAGCACCACAGCTCGTCTCTCCACGGGACGTGCCCTCTGGGAGATTGTGCGGAAGCTTTCAGGTTAGGTCAGCGCTCCTCCTTCCCTCCTCCTTCCTGTGGCATCCAACACTTCTGCCGAGCTCTTGCGACAGGTACAGTGTGGGACCCCCCCATACAGACACGTCTGCTCTCAAGAAACACCCAATCTAAGGTGGGAAACAGATGCAACAGAGTATAACCCGAGGTGCTGTAAGGCCATGCAGTAATGCTCACCAAAGAGAGGGGGTCTGGGAAGGTTTCGGAGAGGAAGGGATGTTCCAGTTGGATCTTCCAAGACAAAGCAGGTTCCCTAGGCTCTGAACTAAGGGGAAGGGCACGCTGGGAGGGGGAACAGCGCGAAGAGAAGCACCAGTCTGGAGAAGTGCACCGAATTTTCCAGAACCAGCATGTGGTACCTGAGACTGCAGGGGGATACCTGGTCCACTGAAAGAGGACTGCTAAGTGCCGAGTCAAGGATGATGCACTGGGTTGACATTTAGTAAAATATAAATACACGAGTGACAATGAAACGCTTTATGGTCTGTGCAATGCTTTTCATGTTAGCAGGCTCGTAATAATAGTGTTGATAGCTTTATAGAAACGCTAACAGTGTGCTTTTCAAGGCTCGGCATTTATGTAAACATAAGTGTCCGTATGCCAGCCATTACATAATACTAGATATTAAACTTAGCCTGCGGACAAAACTGTGCAGAGGAGGGGACCAAGGGTGGGTATTCTAGAGTGCTGCTAGCATTCATCTATTTATTCCCTCAATAAACATTGATTGTTTATCTGGTGCCAAAGGCCAGAGGCAGGAATACAGATAAAAGTAAAGCAGAGTGCTTGGCTTCAGGAGGCTTTCAGCCTAACAGGGGATGACAAACAGGTGAATAAATGGATCCCTTAAAAAGTGGCAGGCGCCTGAGAAACACATTTCATGCACAGCGGAAGCAGAGGGGCCTGTGGCTGTCATAGAGGAGGTGGCACTTGAGAGGACTCTTGAAAGATAGGTTGTTATTTGGGGAGGAGCAGAGAAAGGGGAGACCACAGCTGCAAGGACATTTTGGAGCTACTGCAAGTTTTTCTCAAGCCAAATAATAGGGGTGTCTTTTAAACTTGTGAAGCTCACACACAGTGGGCCAGGCCATATAGTTCCCTGGCCGCCTGCCCCAAACAACCTGGGCCTGCACGCCTTCCACTGCCGTGGGACCGAGGCAGCCGGCGAATGTTCGTTGTGTGCGCATTATGGACATACTCTGGAATAGGCATGTAATAGGGGAAAAAGAAAGCAGGCAGCAACTCAAATATTGTGGAAAAATTGAGTGTTTCAGTGCATTCCACTTAGTTGTGGTTTCATCTGAGTCACCGAGAGCTGGGCAGACAATGCGGCTATTGTTGTAGTGGCGGCTGCAGTCTCATGGCTTCTGGGGGCTGCGTGTCCTTGGTGCCCTCACGGAGGGTCTCAGTGCCCTTGTTTGCAAAAAGCCTCCTGGCTGTGATCTCATCTTTGATGGGAACGGTTTCGCTCCACTACCTTATTGAAGAATCCTTATTGCATCATCAGTTTGCTGGTCTTCTGCCGGAGCAGCCACACAGGCGGGAGGCTTGACCCAGCAGCCCGTGGGGACCAGCTGCCGGGCTCCAGACAGTTGCCACTCCTGTGATGTCCAAGAAGGCTGAGCATTCCTTATGGCACTTTTGGAGAACACAGGGATGTCAAGGAAGGGCCCCTGTAAAGCAAGGCCATGAGCAAAATGGCTGGGAAAGCTAAACTTCATCGGGAACATTAAGTGCAGACTGCTTGACTTCAGGGTTGGTGTTTTGTTTAGTTTTGTTTTGTTTTTTGAAAAGGCACTAATTGTGATTCCTTACCCTGCTCTCTCCTTCAGCACTGGCTGCTTCTCCTGTCCACCCAAGTGCCCCAAACTCTCCCATCGTGTTTAGGCCAATAGAAATCTCACCTTCCTGCCACATCCTTTCTCTCCTGTTCCCTGACAGATTTCTTGGAAAAGTTCTCTTTCCTTTTTGGCATTCATAGGATAACATCTTGCTTCTATCATCAAAAATAGACAGAGGAGAAAGCCCACTCTTTAGGTCTCTCTTTATGGTTTTTATGTGGTAAAACAGCACCAGGAAAATTACCTGTGGGGAAGTTAAGAGGGAGGAAAAAACTTTCCTCTACCCTCAGGGTTCTTCTAGCTGGTCTGATAATCAGATATGAGACAGAATAGCAAGGGAAAATAACCAAATTTAATTGCATACATATGTATGGAAACCCCACATACATGAGCTAGCTGGAGACCCCACGTGCACAAGAGGTTCAGAGATAGAAAGGGGGATTGAGGTGTGTATGTGACATTCTGAGCTAGGTATGAGGTTAAGGCACCTTGGGGCTTCAGGAAGCAATTGCAGGGAAAGAACATGTTCAGTAATTAAGAGTTTGCCCTGCTATATATGTAGGTAAAAAGTTATTTCTGGTGATAACTCTTATAATGGGTCAAACTCCAAATTTAAATTCTTCTAGGTAGTTAAGGGGAGGAGCAGTTTCTCTTGAGTCTGCAGAATCTTGGTTGCCTTTAGCTCACAATAATCTGCATACCCCTGAGGCACATCTTGGGGTAGCTCATTCTGAATCTCTACTAAATCCTAACGTGTCACAGGGCTTCAATCTTGAAGGACTAGGTTTCCACACTGAATTGGAATTCAAAACCCCAAATGGGCAGGCAGCTTGAGGACTGCAGTAGAAATTCAGCAGTAACAAGGAGCAGTCATGAGATGAGTGGGGAAGCTAATTTTGGGCAGTACCTCTTAAAGCACACAACAGGAAAGGTGTACTCCCAAATAAAATTCAGACAATGAAGACCTTAGCTTGATTCTGAAGCATATAACCCAGCTGGTATGCCCCCGTCCATGTGAGAATAGTGTCGTAGAATATCCTAGGACAACTTTTTAAGCTTTTAAAGGCAAATTACCTAAATAGATTAAAGTGATATATAATTTTGTAAAAAAAAAAATTTTAACCAATTCTTATAGAAATAACTTATTATATCTCTGAAGAATTATACTCAGTACTAGCTGCTGGGTCCCAAGAGGAACATTGACAAACTGGGATGGTTTCCAGACCCTTTGCACACACCCCAGTTCGTCAATGTCCTGTGAGCCCTGGCTAAAGTAAGTAAGCCTATGACGTTAAATCCAGAAAGAAGAAGAGAAAGTCGGATCCCTTTTCTCTTGGAAGATATTCCCCTCAGACTGCAAGAAGCTGGTTGGCCCCAGCCCTTACTCCTGCTCCTCCTTAACGTGCCAGCTCAGGCTCTCTCTAAAGTAGGTTAATAGAGATCAAAGGCAGGGACTCTGGTATTTCACAGGGTCTTTCCTTTCGTAGGGAAGCACTTGTTCCCATCTCACAGGAAAACTAGGAAGGGGAGGGGACGGTCAAGGTTACAAGGACAATCTTCTGCTACTCAAGCTGCTCCGGCATCTATTCCCCTGCGCCCTTGACTCGGTGTCCCCATGCTGCCCTCTGTGACTCTAAATCCCCTTCTGGGGTGACTCACCCCATCTATCTCATTCTCCAAATCACTTATTTCTCCAATCTGAATATCAGAGACCAATGGCTAAAACACACATGCTAATCAACACATCAAACATAAATAAAATGAAGGATGACAAGTGGAGATACGAAGCGATATAATAATGTTCTCAAACAAATGTGAGAATTTGGCCCAACTCTCCTTGTGTAGAGGGATTCGTTGAGGATTTTAAGATCACAAGGGAAAAAGAATATGTGGAAACTGAGGACATAAGTGAACCTACAAGAGAGTGCTTTCAAGTCATTTGTATGTAAAAATTAAAACAGTACATCGTAAATAATAGATAATAGAGACTCACTAGAGGGACTAGGACCACATCTGTTTTGTTTCATTGCTATATATGTACCCCGGAATATTTAGGAAAATATCTGCCATGTAATGTTGCAAATATTTATTTGTTTTCATGATTAGCTGGATAAATGGCTGATTTAATTTCAACTCAGTGTTTATGTTTGGAGTACTCATGAATTACTTTCATTTCGATTATGGATTATTACATTTGCTCCTTCACCTACATATTCAATTCTTTTTATTTTTTAGAGTCTCCCACTTTTCTGTTTCTCACCAGGATCCTGGAAATGTAAAGCACTTTGGATATTTGTGTTGGGAAGAGATTTAGATCACCTTTATTTGACCTGTTTCTTTCACTAGAGCTAAACAGCATTTTTAACCACACGCTCTACCCCCTGCCTCACCTGTTGAACCCTGCATCCATTTCTTCCTTCCTTCTTTCTGACACAGCCTTGACCTTGTTAAGGCCCTCACACCTCCTCCCCCCCTCCCCATGCCTTCTTGTGCTTCAGCAAAAGCCAGCGGTGGCCCAACTGTGCCAAGGTTTCCTGGGGGCTGTGCTTCATTCTCCCTGGGGTACACAGTGGGTAGCTGGTAGCCCTTCTTGAGGCTCCTATCCTCTCTCTATATCCTGCCCTCAAGCATTTGCCTTTAGAGCACCAGGGTGGAACCAGAGGAGCCAGGCTATCTAAATTTCTGATCCAACACCAAGGCAGGAACTAAAGGTGTTCTCCTTTGTTCAGTCTTCATCATCTTCTGCTTATCTTGCATAACTGTTGGCTCAAAACTTAAAATAACATCATCATCACAAATAGAAGGAACCGGCTTCCTAAATGTCTCCACCCTTCTCCCAAAAATGAAAGAAAAAGGGTTTTTTTCTTTTATACCTAACCATTTTTTTTGATTAGCATATTATTTTACTGTACTTACGGATGTGTTTATACTCAGTGCTATGAAAACTTACTTATACAAGATTAAGTCCCCATTCAGACGTAAAATGTTTAAGATAACAATTCAGAACTGACCCCTCTGTTTCTCCTCTCTGCTTGTAGGTTGTGGCACGTTTACCCTCTTGTCATCTGTCACAGCTGCTGTCAGTGGCCTCCTGGTAGGTTATGAACTTGGGATCATCTCTGGGGCTCTTCTTCAGCTGAGAACCTTATTAGCCCTGACCTGCCAGGAGCAGGAGATGGTTGTGAGCTCCCTCCTCGTCGGGGCCTTACTGACCTCTGTCATGGGAGGGGTCCTCATTGACAGGTACGGAAGAAGGGCTGCCATCATCTTGTCATCCTGCCTGCTTGGACTTGGAAGCCTCGTCCTGGTGCTCAGTTTATCTTACACGGTTCTTATCGTGGGACGCATTGCTGTCGGGGTTTCCATTTCACTCTCTTCAATTGCCACTTGTGTTTACATCGCCGAGATTGCCCCACAACACAGAAGGGGTCTTCTGGTGTCACTGAATGAGTTGATGATTGTCATTGGCATTCTTTTGGCCTACATTTCAAATTATGCATTTGCCAATGTTTCCCACGGCTGGAGGTACATGTTCGGCCTCGTTCTTCCCTTGGGAGTTTTGCAAGCGATTGGAATGTACTTTCTTCCTCCAAGTCCCCGGTTTCTCGTGATGAAAGGACAGGAGGAAGCTGCTGGCAAGGTTCTCAGAAGGTTGAGAGCCATCTCAGATACCATGGAGGAGCTCACTCTGATCAAATCTTCCCTGAAAGATGAATATCAGTATAGTTTCTGGGATCTGTTTCGTTCGAAGGACAACATGAGGACCAGAATAATGATAGGCCTAACATTGGTATTTTTTGTACAAATCACTGGCCAGCCAAACATATTATTCTATGCATCAACTGTTTTGAAATCTGTTGGCTTCCAAAGCAATGAGGCGGCTAGCCTAGCCTCCACAGGGGTTGGGGTTGTCAAGGTCATCAGCACCATCCCGGCCACCCTTCTCGTAGACCATGTCGGGGGCAAAACCTTCCTCTGTGTTGGCTCTTCCATGATGGCAGCTTCATTGGTGACAATGGGCTTTGTGAATCTCAACATCCACATGAACTTCACCAGTATCTGCAGAAACCATAGTCCTATCAACCAGTCCTTGGATGAGTCTGTGTTTTATGGATCAAGAAACTTGTCAGCCAGCAATGAAACTCTTAGAGAGCTCTTTAAAGGGGTCACTACCCACAGCGTAAGCTCACTAACGCCCAGAAGAAATGATGTGGATAAGAGAGGGGAGATGACCTCAGCATCCTTACTAAATGCTGGATTGAGCCTAACTGAATACCAGTCAGTCACCGACCCTGCGGAAGTGTCACCGTCTTTGCGATGGCTGTCCTTAGCCAGCTTGCTTGTGTATGTTGCTGCTTTCTCAATTGGCCTAGGACCAAGTAAGTACTTTATTACCCATTCCTTCCTCCTCACCCCTTATAAATGCTAATGAACTGCTTCTGACCTGTGAGAGCATCCCACTGCTGTGGTGTATCGTACATAGAACTGCTCTGAGCAGGACTGGGATAACCCTGGCAGAAGCATGCCTGGTTTATAGCTGCTTAGTGAAATGCGCAGGGCCAGTATTCACCCGAAGGGTAAGTTTGCCATTGTCTGTTCCCATGAGGATACTTTTAACACCAATTGATTGGAGACGAACCAGACCTTGAAAGATATTCATGGCCCAACAGATTATATTGTTTTATGAAAACAAAGTTTATTGGGATAACATTTTTTTTTTTGTTTACAATATCATTCCTGAGTTTCTTCATTGGTGAAAGGGGGGAAAAGCAGGATTTTTCTTAATGACACAATAGTGGGTGCATTCCAGTAACAATGAAGAAGAGGAGATTATGAGGTGGGAAGGCAGGCACAGTAGTTCTTTAAGTATATTTTATCACTCGAGTAACCTCCCAGGGCATGTCACTCTCTATTAAACAGGACAGTGGAGTCAAGTTACTCCTATTAAACAAAGTACAAACCATCTACAGGGAGATAGCCACAGGGTGTTTTATTTTATGTACCCAGTCTACTCCAATGACAAAGTTGAAACCCTTCTCTGGAGCAAACTCTCTAGGGTTTGCTAGAATAGGTGGTTTGTTGAAGTTCCCTAGTCTTTTAGCCTCAGCTGAAAGCCTAACCCTCTCTGCAGAGAAGCTGAAAAAGGTCTTTTGTAGATCTCCCTAGAAAATAAAGTGCTTAATCTATCATCCTCAACTTCAAGCACCACTCCTCTCTCTCTTTACCCCCCCTCCCACCCTCCCTTTCACTCTCTCTAAAAATCAATGTAAAATATTCTCTGGTGAGAATTAAAAAATTATTCTATATGATTTTTTAAAAAATTTAAGCTTATATTCAACTAATATTTATTGATACCTATTATGTTGAATACTGTGTTAGAAAGTTTTTACATACTTTGGAGGACTTCATTTTACTTTCACAATAAGCCTGTGAAGAAAAGGTTTTCACCATATTTTACAAATAATGGCACCGAATCTCAGAGAAGTTAGGTGATTTGCTCAAAAAATGAAAACATCTCTTGTCTTCTGAAATTCAGTATTCATCCCTGTCCAAGACAAGAACAAGCAGTCTTGTGTTGGTTTTGATAGCAAAGGTTAATTATTTTTAGTTTGGCCCTCTCCATGAAGATGCATTAAATGTAAGAATGAATGAAAATAGTGCATCATTGTCCAACACATGAGGCTATTATAGGGGCCGCCCTGCATTTTATTCAAGACAGAGACAGTCTCTCTTTTCTTGAAGCTCTGCTAGGTAGGTAAGCATGTAATTTTTATAAGGCTGAGCTACAGGATAAAAGAGAAGGGTAATGATAAGAAGACAGAAGTTTTTGATGTGCATTTGCTTGAATAACTAAACTTGGTTAAAATAATGTTTAAGGTGTATATTGGTTAGAATTCAAGCTCGGCTAAACAAAGACCAAAAAAAAAACCAGTGGCTTAAGCAAGATAGAAGTTTCGTTCTGTCTCTCACTCAACAACTGAAGCTGGGTAGTTCTGGGTGCTGTGGAGGCTCCAGGGTCAGGCACCTACCTAAAGCCTATGGATAATGTCCCTTGGTCTCATTGGAGCCAGAATTTTAATATTAGTTCTCAGTCTATCATGATGGCTATTTAATATGAATATGCATTTTAAAATGTTGTCACCCTTTCCTGGTAGCTAATTGTCCCTTGAGAATAAGTGAAGTGCATGAAGTACAGTCAATTAAAGGGAGGCGGGGTGTAGAAGGCCTAGACAATAAGACAATGTGAGCAATTCTGTCCAGGAAGCAAAAGCACTGCGAGTGCCATGCGACAGGGAATTTCTCACAGGGCTTAGACCCAGCACAGTTGCGGGGATGCTGAGAAAGCAAAGGTCTGGAAGGGACAACTGGGGGAGAAGGCCCTGAAGGGAAGCCGGTGAAGATGCCTGGGTTAGGCTGAAGTCTCCGCAGGTCAGCAGGGGAGGCAGGGGGAACGCTGGACTCCCAGCAGGGAAGCAAAGCCAACAGACCTTGCTCGGAGAAAGGGGAACCCGTGAGAAGAAACTGGAACCCACAGCTGTCTCTCACGGCCGCAAAGCCAATGACGATGCGGGCCACCTGGAGAAAAACTGGCGTTCCCCATAGGGACCCGACCGTGTGGCTGGCTGAGTAGTGGGAGCCTCTGGAGGAGGCGATCTGGTCCACTAGCTGTGCCCCATCAACAGGGAGAAACAGCGGCTCACAACAACGTGCAAAAGCTAAGCCATGTCTAGGGTCCTGTACCCCCCCGCCCAAGCATGGGGCTGAGATGTCACTTGGGCCTTTCAAGTCTCATGCACATTTCTCCTCCTGCCAACCCGCACCCAGGACGGTACAGGGGAGGGAATTCTGGGGAATGTGGTTTCAGCTTAGCTAAGTTGACGCAGCACAAGACTGCCAGAGTAAATATGGAAAGAAGTATTTCGGGATGTCAAGGGCCCTGCATTCTGTTTTCAGTTGTTGTGACATTTATTTCTTCTCATGAAAACATTAATTATTAAAATATATGGCTAGCTTACATTCCATCTACTTATAAAGAAGGGGTGAGGTCATTTCATTAATGTCTCTTGGCTTTTGTTTCTTTAGCTGTAAAACCAAAAAACCACTCTCCCGCTAATGCGTTATGAAAGCTTTCATGTTTATTTTCTCAGGATCGTTAATTATCTCCTCTGAGCTGCTGAATCTCACTTACCTTTAATTCTATCGGCTCACATGACTTCTAGTTTCTTTCTTCCCAGTGCATGCTGGACTTTTCCACTTTGATGCTTCACTGTCGGCACACACAAGAAGCCCAGTGTTGGATTCTCATTCCCCTCTCACCAGGGCAACTTTCTTTTTCTTGGGGCAGTCACTCTGCCAATCACTCAGGTTTGATGCTTTGGACCTTTTCCCAATCCAGTCAGTGACCAAATGCTCTTGGATTTTTCCTCACAAATGGCTCTGGTGTTTATCTTTTTCTTCCCATTTCTGCTAGCATTGCCTATCCCTTGTGGTCGTTCTTAGAGTGCTAGGAGACTGTAGTTCCCTCCTGTTCCAGGCCTTCCTCATGCCGTCCATCCCCTATACCAACATTTCTTAAATACCATTTTCCTCACGCCCCCAATGTTCCCTCACCCTCCATGGTGTCCTACTTTCTACCACATCAGGGAAGTCAAATGCTTTACAAGATGAAAAGTAGATTAGAAATGGTCTTCTCCAGCATTTTCCTTTTATCAAAAAGAAACAAGAAACACCAGGAGATTGAGATCACACAGATTTAGAAATATAACCCCAGGCTTTGGAAGCCTAATTCCATGCTTCCTGTACTACTATATCACGCATCTTTGAGGGAGAAATTGCATGACTTTCAGGGCCCTCCATCATCTCACCCAACTATATCAGGGTGTTTGCACCACTCCAGGGGGCACCATTTACACCGTAGTTTGTGGAGTTGTGCTCCAGGGCCACCATTCATACAGAAGTACAGAGAGACTCCACATAGGCTACAAAGTGAATGGAGCCCCCTGGCGGTGTGCAATGAGGCAATACCTTACCGCTTTGAGCTTCTTTATTTCCCACTGCTTTACACTTCCTCTACTCAAATCCTTCCTATCCTTAAAGCTCAGTGAAATTCTTCTCTCTTCTGTGAATTCACATCATTTCTTAGAGGTCTTTATTTATATGAACTACTAGTTATTTCTAGTGTAGAGTAGGTGAGTTCTGGGCTATAAGAAGCCTGAATTTAAAAATCAGAAAAGCTGGGTTCTAATCCCAGGTCTTCTACCTTCTGGCTGTGTGATATTTAAGTCATTTATCTTCATGAAGCTGTTTCTAATCTATGAATTGGGCATAAAAATACCTGCCTTATGTCACAGAGTGAGCATCAGGTAAGGGAATGCATGTGTGTTTTGGATGCTATAGCGTATGATATAAATGGAAGTTACAGTGTAATACATACACAGGGTAATGCCCAGTGTAATATAACTTAGTCCTTACTGACACAGTTATTGCTTCAGTGTGTTTGTTTTGGTTTATTAGCCAGAATATGGTTACTAGATTATAAGCTCTTGAGGAAAGAAATGATATCTATATTTTTTCTTCTCTCCCTTTAAATGAGCACAGCATAAATCTGTTTGAAAACTATACAGGAACACATTTGTCCTTCTAAGGGGGGATTTTAAAAATAAGATGCAGATATAGGGAAAATCTCAAAGTATGCTTGTTTACATGTGTCAGGCTATGGGGCAAACTTACCAGCACATAAGTTAGAAATGCTAGATGGCCAAAGAAACTCCTGTTTCTACCAAACTCCATCATGAGTTTTTTCTACAGAATAATTCATCACATGGGCATGAGTTCTATAAATCTCTGGTTTTGTTCATAAGAAAAGATGCAAGGGGAGTTAGTAGTGCTTGGAAACAAGAAGTGGGAAGCATTTAGGGCTTTTCTTTGTTAAATCATAGTTATTGGGAATTTCAGAGACAGACGACCTAAAAGTAGTCCCAGATATATGTATATATGTAAGAGACACCTCTACTTTTTGCTACAACATGGAGAAGAGAGTCCTTTTGAGAATTTCTTAGACCTGCACCAATACTGGTGAGACAGAGAATCTCAGGGTTGAAGGAGGTTTGGGTATGGGAAAGGGAAATAACCCTTCATCTCGTGGTTTCTCCAACTTATAATTGCAACTCAGAGGACTGAGCTGGGTATTAATGCCCGAGGCTGGGAAGCATGCAACCCGAGACAGAATTCCCAGCCAGCCCTTCGCTCTAAGCAGAATCAGCAGCTATTTCCCATCTGTGGTTTGGGGCTACTGGCTCTCCTCGAGCTTTTAGAAGGGATTTGAATAATTGTCCTTTTTTTTTCTTGCTAAGAGTCAGTCATTTCTGTCCATATTCAT